GGTCTGGAATTGACCACACACCAGTGGCTTCCAGCCAAACAATAGACAGGCATATCAGTTGAGCATTTACCTGAGGTAGATACACTCCTTGGAAAGAATAAGCATGAGAGAAAGAAGGGCTGCTCAGGCACAGGGAGACAGCTCAGGGGGTAGGAGTACATGGAGGGATGGACACAGGGAAGAGGTAACTATGAGGAGCAAGTGGGAGTAGAGATGTTGCATTGTGCTAAATTGTGGTCAATGTCATGAGACAAAGTTTATGTGAACTGCTGTATGGAAGGTGTATTTGCTCTGTAAATTTTCACCCAAATCACAATTTAAAAAAAAAAAAAGAACTGTAAATAAAAAACAAAATTGTTGACCTTGTTATCCATCCTAAAACTCCTTGTTTCAGAATAGTTTTCCCAGTTTTTAGTTGTTTCAGGTGGAACAATAAATCTGGTACCTTTTATGCCACTTGTTTCGAACCTAAAGTCCCCACAGTTAATTTTGGAAGACTAAAATTAAACACTATTCTATTTTTTGTTATTGTTGACCTGAGTTTTAATAGTCAAAATATATTTATAGACTTGTTCAGAGAAAATGACTTAAATCCAAAGTATAAACTTTTATAATAAAAATTGACCCAACAAATTAGGTCAATCAGTGTAGCTAGGAATTCCTTCAACAAATATCTTAGCACCTGTTATGTGCTAGCAGTCTCTGGGCAGTGCAGTTAACACACTTGGCTGCTAACTGAAAGGTTGGAAGTTCAAGTCCACCCAAAATCAGTGTACTGCCAAAAAATCAGCCATTGAAACCTTATGGAGCACAGTTCTCCTATGATACACATGGGGTCACTATGGGCCAGTGTCAACTTGGCAATAAATGGTTTTATTAGGTGCTAGGCACACTTCGGGTGCTCTTGTGGTGTAGTGCCTAAGGCACTTGACAGCTAACCAGGAGGCTGGCGGTTCAAACGCAGCAGCCACTCCTTGGAAGGAAGGTTGGACAATCTACTTCCATAGTGATACTACCTCAGAAACCCAAGGAGGGGTCGCTATGAGTCGGTACGAGTAAACGACACATAACAACATCAGGCACACTTCAGCTGCGATAAAGACAAAATCAAAATCTTTGTCCTCCTGGAGTTTACATCCTAGTGAGTATTAAAAAAAAAAAAAATGTTAATGCAATCAATGTAATTGTAATCTATTTCTGTAGTGATACCGCCTTGGAAACCCAAGGAGGGGTCGCTGTGAGTCGGATCCGGCTCGACAGCATGCATTTTGTTTTTGGTTTAATGTCTCTTGCAAAAAGACCTAAACAATAAAGCTAAATAAATGATGTAAAATATAGCTTTGAGCTTGAAACATGTCATCAAATCAGTAGCCCTGAGCCACAATCAGTACTGTAGCATCACAGGGCTACTTTAATTCAATTCAAATCAGCTTGCCTCTGTAACCTGAGCCTGTAAGGGCAGTGTCTGGCTAACAGTAGGTGCTTAAATAGTGGAAAAATTTCTGCCACCTCTTCCCAAGGACTTTATTTTTCATCCTTCAGAGGCATAAACTGAAAACAGCTAGCCAGAGCCGTTGAGATGAAAAGGCTTAAGTGCAACACATCAGAGCAAGATGGAAATGTAACAGGAAGCTGGCTGCATGGCCTTCATTGTCAATTTTCCTAAATTTATGACTGGCAGGTGAGAAATGACACTTCCTGCCTTTGGTTTAGTTCTGACATTTCAGCGTGGCTGGTCCAAGTCTCTTGCCTTGGTTTCTTGGTGAGGGTGGTGCGACAGGAAGAAAAAAGAAGGTATTCTGTAGCTTTTTAAGTTTACCTTTTAGGGATGTGTATATACGTGCGTATGTTTAATGAATATGGAACTACATGGAAAATTTCGGTATGCAAATAATTCATGGAAAACTTGGCACGTTAGAGGTAATCAGGGTACTTAGAATATGTGTCAGGGACCCAGGAACATGGTGTCTTCACCCTATGCGGAATATACCTACCGGATAACCGACCAGAGACGCCCGCAAGTAATTCCTGATTGCACGCCAGGCAGGACCAGAGAGTCCGTGGGAGTTGAGGGCTGGCGCTGGCTTTCCGCCCCTCCGCGGCACATTCTCCGCTGCAACAGCTTGCGGCATCAAGGAGGTTTGGGGATAGCAGCAGAGTCAGGTGCCCCCTTCTCGCCTGCACGTGGCTCGGAGCCGCCAGCTGCGGAGGCTCGACGTGTGTGTATGTTGGGGGGCTGGGGCTGGGCGGTGAACAGCTAGGCAGGCGCAGCCTGAGCGGGCTGCCGGAGCAGCAAGGTGCGGTCGGCCTTAGGGGCGGGTGGGGCAGGCGTGGGGCGCGGGCTGTCGGGCCACGTGACAGTAGCGGGGCTATTAAGCCGCGCCACGGTTGCTCGCAGCCCGAGCTGGTGCTTCACCCGAGACCCAGCGCCCTGGAGTGCTGTCCTCAAAGGATCCCGCGCGAAGGTGACTCTGCGCCCGCCCTCCCGCCAGCTCCCGCAGCTATCGCTTCTCCCCAGCTCTGCGGCTTCTCCTGGAACACAGCCCCCTGCCCGCCGACCTCCGTTTGCCGGGCTGTGTCTCAGTCCGTCGGTCTGTTAGTCCGTGCGCGTGTCCGAATCCCGGCCAGCCAGCATCATGAACCAGATCGAGTCCAGCGTGCAGTACAACTACGTCTATGATGATGACGAGTACATGATCCAAGAGGAGGAATGGGACCGCGACCTACTCTTGGACCCGGCCTGGGAGAAGCAGCAAAGGAAGGTCAGCAAGGGGACTGGGGCCGCCGTCCTCGAGCACGCGCGCCCTATGTCACTGTGTCTCTGTCCCTTAACCGAGCTCCCGCTGGGTGGGCATCGCTGACTGTGGTCTGAGAGGGTTGATTATGTAGGGGTGTGTTGTCCCTTGTCAGAGTAGCCCGAGTGAGAAACTCCATTAGGGATGACACGTCCAGGGACAGGCATGAAGCTGGGTGTCCTGCATGAGTGTGAGTGTGTGTGTGTGTGTGTGTGGAATAGAGTTACAAAACAAAACAAACAAAAAAAAAAGTGATATATGTTATTTTTGTTCTCAGATCAGCTCGCATTAGACCAGAATCTGAGAGAATCTCGGGTCTGCCCCTGACCTCTTGAGTCTGATGACCTTGGCCACAGTATCATACTCTTCTGGCACCATTGTGTTCATAAAATAGTATAAAAGCAATCAAGTTAGCATCAGCTTTGTTACGATTTTCGTAGGGCTGCTCCCAAGAGTAATTTAAAATCATTTATTAAATGTTTGGGCTTCCTTAGGGAAGGATGCTGTAAGAATAGGAGGTACTTACTGATAAACTTATAATTATTTCACACTCTATTTATAGTTAATTGAGGTAAGCACACAGGGACAAGGGAGTCAGCCAAGTCTAAAAACTCCCTGTCCATCCTGGTTGGCACACTTCCGGAGTCCAATGGAACATTCCACCATTTCAAGGTTTCTTCTTGATCCCCTTGGCTAGGACAAGCAAGAATGCTCATTGGGAGGCTAATACTGCCTCCTGTTTGATTGAGTGCTTAGCCTGGCTGGGTCAAGTTCCCAGGAGAGACCTGCTAACCCAATCTTGTACACAGTGTCATGGCAAAACCAAAGTGCCTCTATGAGGTTTTTTTTCCCTATTTTTCTGGTAGTAGAGCAAAGTGGTTTACCTCCTACAGAGCTAATTTTTATTGGATAACTTGTGTTGACCATATGTGTAAGTGGAAAGAGTCCTGTGTAGCTGTCACTGGGGGTGATTACATGATAGTAAATGGTGAATAGGAGCTCTGGTAGCATAGTGCCTAAGGCACTTGACTGCTAACCAGAAGGCTGGCGGTTCAAACCCACCAGCCATCCTCGGAAGGAAGGGCAATCCTACTTCCATAGTGATACAGCCTTGGAAACCCAAGGAGGGGTCGCTATGAGTTGGGGCCGACTCTATGGCAAATAACAACAACAACAATATGGTGAGTGGATCTATGATGATGGAAAATGAATATATCCTGTACTTCCCTCCCAACTGATAGTGGTAGCAGTAAATAAAGGGGTCCCATATTTGGATATCGGAAGGAAGATGGGGCAATCTACTTCGATAATGATGTTGTTGTTGTTGTTAAGTGCCGTCGAGTCATTTCCGACTCATAGCGACCCCATGCACAGCAGAACGAAACACTGCCTGATCTCGCGCCAGCCCCACAATCCCTGCTTTACTTGAGCCCATCATTGCAGCCACCATGTCAATCCATCTAGTTGAAGGCCTCCCCCTCTTTCGTCGACCCTCCACCCTACCAAGCATGACATCCTTCTCCAGGGAATGGTCCCTTCTTACAACATGACCAAAATAGGTGAGAAGAAGTCTGGCCATTCTTGCTTCCAAGGAGCATTCTGGCTGCACTTCCTCCAGGACAGATCTGTTAGTTCTTTTAGCAGTCCATGGTACTTTCAGCATTCTCTGCCAAAGATAGTGATACTGCCTCAGAAACCCAAGGAGGGGTCGCTATGAGTCAGGTCTGACTCGACAGCACATAACAACAAACAACAATATTTGGATAAGTATTAGATTTCTCTTACTTTGGCCATGTTATCAGGAGGGACCAGTCCAGGAAAAGGATATCATGTTTGGTGAAGTAGAAGGTTAGCAAAAATGAGAAAGACCCTCAATGAGATGGACTGACACAGTGGTTGCAACAGTGAGCTAAAGCATGGCAAAGATTTGAGGGTGGCTCAGGAACAGGCAGAGTTTCATTCTTTTTTATATAGGGTCACTATAAGTAGGAACTGACTTGATGGCACCTAAAAACAACATTTTTATATTAAGATTTCTTTCTCTTTTGTCTATGATCTGTTAAAATCATATTTATTACTTTTTTAAAGCTCTAATTTAGTTACAGGAGCTCTGGTGGCGTAGTGCCCAAGGCATTTGACTGCTAACCAGAAGGCTGGCAGTTCAAACCCACCAGCCACTCCTCAGAAGGAAGGTTGGGCAATCTACTTCTGTAGTGATACTGCCTTGGAAACCCAAGGAGGGGTCACTATGAATAGGATCCCACTGGATGGCAGTGGGTTGGAAATTTAGTTACATTTCTGTCTTCACTTCTCAGTTTCCTTAGGCTTCTAACCTCCCTTCCTTTCTTAGAAACAAGAGGAAGGGAGTGATAGAGGTTGAATCTCTAAAGGAAAGCAACATTTCAAACCATCTTCAGTTATTTTAAAGGGCTTTTCATGAGGGAAACACATGGCCTGAGGAATGTTAACAAGTCATCTGGATGAGCTGATGCGTCATCAGTCAGCAAGAAGTTAATAATACTGCTTTTTTAAGAAATGACTTTATTTTTCTCACACAATTTGATTACTACATTTATTGTGGATTTTTAAAAATCTCCTAACCTTTTTTTTTTTTTTAAAGTTATTTTTCTTATGAGGAGCAGAAAATAGCAAAGGAATTGGGCAAGTAGTATGCTTATCATTTTGGAAAGTGATGGTCTAATCACAATGTTTCTTAATAATTTTGATTTTTTAAAATACCATAGAATGACAAGATAGAGCTAGTGTGAGTTCACAAAAGCCACGTTGGCAAGTTTTCTGACATACTTGCTTTTTTAATTTATTCACAGTATTTTCTGATATAATGGCTTAGTTTTTTCAGTTTTGGGATTCCTCTGTGAATATACCATTATAATTATATAGCACTTGTACATTATTTAAAAACAGACATACTTTCTGATTATATTTTTAAATAATGCTAAAAATTTTCTAGTTACATTTTGTTAGTCTTTTTCCTTTAGGATAGGCTGAATGTTGTAGATGCTGAGAGAACTACCTCAGGGCACAGACTGAAAAGTTCCAAAAGATACTCTGTTTCTACTTTTGGTATAGAACCTGCTTGAGTCAATAAAATAATATTGAACTGTGAGCTCGGTATAGTCAGAGTGGTGGCCTCTATTTATGTCCTATGAGACAAACCGCTGGAACAGGCCAAGGATAAAATGCCATTGTTTCTATTATGGGCTACCTTCTCCACACTTGCCGTTTCAGTGATATGCTAGGTATGAGATCTGTCAACAGATGCTGGTAACATATGATGACGTCTGTAGCGTTATAATGGATGTGGTGCCTAATTATATCCACAGTTCAGAGAGTTTCATGGGCTATGGTAATCCTTGCTCTCTGGTGTGGAATTCCTTGCTGCAGAAGGACTTAATGAAAGTGTAGCACAATGCAGAGGCAAAAGTGGAAGTAATCCAGAAGATGAGGGATTTAGCATGAGTATGTATAGGCATTTCAAAGTGCTCACTTTATCTTTCAGGGTTATGTTTAGTTAAAAGGGATAAGGATATTTATATATTGTCTATAAATAAAATTTTACTTTACTTCATACAACTCATGGGTAGAAGAAAAACTTCTACAATGTTCCAAAAATAATATTTAAAATAGTAATGGCATGGTAAGAAGACTAAAATTATGGGATTTACTACTGAGGTTAAAGGGACTATTATAACTATATAGCATACAGTTTAGGAATATCTATTTTCACATTATATTAGACTTTCTTCAGTGTCCTGCTGAAGTGTGGGTAGAGCTTTGGTGTCTAGAAGCAATCTTCAGTTGGAACCAAGGATCACATTCAGCATGTAAGTCATCTGAAGCCTAATTGGGAGCTGACCGGTCAGAGCAGCAATGCTAAATATGTGTACTATCTCAATAAGCATAGCATGCTGTCCTGAATTGCTCTGGGAGGCTAAACAGACCTTTTAAGGACACAGAATACGTGTTTCAGTACATAAAGGGTTCTTATATCCTTAGTCTGCGTATGGTTGAATGATCAACAAGTCTTTGTACTAGTTGTCGCAAGCATAAGAGAGTAGTTCATTTATACCATATTAAGAGTTCTGATTGTTTTCAATAGTCTCTAAAGAAATTCAAGTTACTCATCACTATTCACAACTTAGATAGGCTGATTTGCCTTGGAGAACCTTCTATTGGTTCTGTTACCCTAGGGTAATACTTTGCCCTGTAAAATCAGGCTAAGTCTCTGGGTGATGCAAACAATTAATGTGCTAGGCTGCTATGGTTGGAGGTTTGAGTCCACTCAGAGATGCCTCAGAAAAAAGGCCTGATGATCTGCTTCTGAAAAAAAAAATCAGCCTTGGAAAATCCTATAAAGCACAGTGCTCCTCTGACACGTGTGGGGTTGCCATGAGTTGATGTTGACTCAATGGCAACTAAACCATCCTTTCAATTAGGAAGAGAGTCCTGGCTATCTACCTTCCAAAAATCAACCATTGAAAAGATGATGGAGCACAGTTCCATGATAACACATGGGGGAGCACCCTATAGAATCAGGCAGCATAGAAGGACACATGTGCAGGAGCATATGCCTTCAGGGTCTGGATTAAATAGATCCTGAGAATCAGAGTGTCACCCCTACTAGTATTCTGAATAGACCAATGACTCATTATGGCCTCAAGATGAAGCCTCTACTCCCCTGCATAATGAAACATACTATGTCGTGAATTTTTCCCAGGAGAAAAGGCACTGACTGATTCCTTTGTTCCAACATAGTGAACATTTAACAAAAAGCTTGTGAAATTTCTGAGATTTATGAGACCCACAGGAATCTCAGCTCTACTTGGTAATCTCCTTGTGACTCCAGTCAAGCCACAGAAACTTTTGAGCCTCAATTTCTAAATCTGAAAGATAAAGGTATGTGACATCTGCCATTCTTAGCTTGAAATCCCTGGATGCTACAAATG